GTCTCTTGTGGTGGCTTGATTGTTTGCTGCTAAAAGAAGGCCCATCAGCCTTTTGCGGCATTAGGTGATTGCCTGAGGTGCTTCTTGCTGTTGTAGAGTTTGTGAGTTTTCGCGCAGGTGGCCGGTGGCCGGCTTCCATGTCAATGATTGTACTGCCCCTTGTTGGCTCCCCTTGCCCCTCTAGACTCCTACCGAAGTTTTCAGCCCGGAAAGAAGATGAATCATGATCTTTTCAGTCAATCCCGTTATTAATTATAGTATCAATGTAAAAACGGGATGGCGTAAGAATCTGCTTAGGGAAAGATGTGGGAAGGTGAAGTATTGAAGGCTTTCTTACTCCGTCATCGTTCGATATCGTTTCAATTACATTGGGTGATTGAATTAAAACATTGCACGGAGTAGCGGAGTAGCGCGGAGTAGCGAAGGATTGGTGAATGTTGCCTGGGCGGTGCTGCATCGCAATCGCCACATTGGAGCCAGGGAATGGAAACAGCTGATACCACACGTGCGCTTTCAGGTTCCATTTTTGGGGCCGGAAAGTCAATTGAAATCAGGCTTCGCATGTGGGGGCCTCCTCTGCCAATACGTTTTGCGTCCGAGGCGTGGTCTCGGCCAGGCCTCGCCAAGCCTCGAAGCGCCCCTTAGCAGGACGGGTCTTCTACCAGTCGCCTGCTACATGGTTCTCAGACACCACGTTACAGGAGCAATGGCGAACATTTGACTTCCCAAGTCGAATGCTGAGGCGCAATCCGCCGCAAGACGACTTTTTTTTCCTCTGGTTTGGCCGATGTCGCTCTGAGGCTCGGTCCTGTAATTGGTATAAGCAGATAAAAACGAATTAAAGCGAGTCGACTGAAACGCAGTGGTTCCAGCTGTACAATAGTCTAAGTGGCAAAAACCAATCAACAACCGAGAAAACAAACAAAAACCAAGACACTAGACGACCCGCAAATCCCCCAGCCAGATTTGCGTTTCGCCACAAAAACCAACAGCGAAACAACAAGAGAACGGGGGCCGGGGCCCAACACAAAACCAAACCAAAACACACAATTTGCCACTTGACACAGGGGGAATTCTCCCACTGTGCCATAACGATCGCATGCAGAATCTGAAACTAATTCAAAACTCCCACCAGTTAAGAAGAGAACTATGGCAGTGAGACATAAAAACGTAGACTAGTGCAGTTGTGAAACAAAACAAAGAACTGTACAATGACAAATCCATCCTCTCAGAGTCCTCTCACGTGTGCTTTTGCTAGCATCCGCCAACTGCTAATCTCTGAGCAGAAATAGAACCTTCACGCATGAGAGCAGCACGATCATACGTATCTCACTACATCTGCAAAATTGCCTTCCCCCCTACAAGGGGGAGCGGCTAGATATTCCTGGTGGAGCAAGGGACCTGGGCAAAGCGGGACCGCCCAGTCTTCGATTTAACACCTCGTATATCTGGAGAGAGCCGCATTGTCGTCAAAGTCAGTGAGCCAGACAGGGCCAGCTTTGTATTCATCAACGGGTAGTGGACAAAGGGAGCCACAGCAAGTGCTAGAGGTCAGAAGGACCAAGTCCAGGACTTCTAGTAGCCGAATTCCTGTTGTCAGATTTCAAAAGGTAGACATTTTTCTAGATCATTTCCTTCTTTGGAAACAGTTTCTATGCAGGAAAAAACGTGAGGTGCCAAAAAAACGCAGACACGATGCAGAAAAAGTACATGTGGGGGAGAAAAAATACAGGTTTGCAGCGGATAAAAGCTGCAGCCTCAGAGACTAGGAGGTTCTGTGCAAGCATGGATCCAAATCAAACCAAACAAATCGAAAGAAACAAAGGGAACAGCTGAAGATGCCGAAGTCAATCCGCATGCACAAATAAATGCGCTAGGAAAAGAAGACAACAGCTCAAAAAAACATCAGGCCAAATGGCGCCATATAGGAAAATCATCTGAGAGCGGCTCACCTCTGACTCAGAAGAAGCAGCAATTGATGGAGTATGCGCAGGAAGAAGCGGAGCAGCTTAGAAGTTCCATATCACATGAACAAGCTTGTTTCTGACCAACCTCTGGGTGTACTCTTCTCCTTCCTTGGTTGCCTGTATCTTCATTGCACTCCTTTTGGATTGGAGGTTGAGATGCCGAAAAAGTGACGCCGTTGTGGCGCAAAGCACATTTGGAAGTCAAAATGCTAAAAACACCAGATGTTCCAACCACTTTTGGACTTTCAACCGCACCACACTACCCTACACTACACGACACTACGCTATACGACAACGACAACGACAACAACAACGACAACACAACAACGACAACACAACAACGACAACACAACAACGAGAAAACAACAACGAGAAAACAACAACAAGAACACAACAACAAGAACAAGAACAACAAGAACAAGAACAAGTCCCTAACCTTAATAGGGGGTCAAGCCAGGGGGGGTTTAGCCAGGAAAGGGTTTGAATACTGTTCAAACAGAGGAAAAAAGAGAAAACATAAGAAAAAATAAGAAATAATAAGTTTTTGATAGGTTTTTTTTTAGATATTTTTTTTAAAAATGAATTAACTTGTACATTAAGTAATTTTATTTCTTTTTTGGTCAGGGAGTCAGGTGCACTTTTTCATTTTTAAGCTTCAGGTTTTTAAGACATTTATTTGAGACACCGTATGCATTGGCTCAATCAAGTCATTTGATTTGACTACATTTACACAGTGATTTCTCAATTATGACGACTGCAGAGCCAACCTCTGCATTGCTGATGAAACCTGGGTGGGCCCACGAGATCTTGCACAATGGAAAAGACCTGGAACTCAGATCAAAGCCTTGTCATTCAAAGGTGGGCAAGACTGTTGCCCTTGGCACTGGTGGAATGCTCCTGGGAGAGGTGACAATCGTTGGTTGTTTTTTGCTGGCTCATGTTCGAGATGGACAGTTGAAGGATCACAAACCTCATTCGTTCAGAGCGTGCGCCGACCGCCATCACGTCTATGATTGGACTGTTATTGAGTACAAAGACATTTGGGCTTGGGAACTGAAAAATCCAATTGTCTATAGCACTCCAAAACCATATTTCCATCCTAGGGGTGCAATTGTTTGGATTGATTTGACCAAACAACGTGATGGAAAATCACTTGTCAAGCGTGAGCCGGAACAACGCATCAGACGGGTGGTGACTAATAATAAGAAGAGACCTTCAACTTCAGTCTCTTGAAATAGTCAATAATGAGGCAAACATTTGAAAATCGAACATTGCATGATTCGATGACAAATGATTTTAATTTTCCAGTACTTATCATTCTTATTAGTTTTAAGGCTGAATGACTACTGGAATGAATTGACAATTTTTGACTCATTGACACAGCAATGCATTGTGTGTGATGATTGTCCGATTGTGTGACATGATTCACCTGCCAATTTCAATGCCAATGAATGAACAGCAAATTGATGATGCGTTGTGCCTTTGGTTGACTAGTCATTTTGAGCATCATTGCGGCCAGTTTATCATTGTCCGGGACTCAGCTGAGTACAGTTACATTGTAAATTTTGGTTGCAATGATTCAATTGGCAACTCCATGTCAAGTTCAAGCCAAGTCATCATTGAAATCATTAGGTCGATATTTATTTATTATTGATTTAGAATAGTCAGCACACAAATCAAAACTCAAACCAGTTCGAATCTTGCATTGAAACTGCAAGGTGACGCACTGTGAGTGCTTCTTTGACGCAGGATTGCTACTGCCAGTTGCTCAGATTGAGAATTAAGGCTCAACGAAGACTAATGACTATCTTCAGTTCAGTTCATTCATTTTTATTTTCATTTGCTTGAAAATTAGTATATTATACAATGGTATGGCAGAGGCAGAATCAGACTGTAATAATGCAAATTCTCATGGCAACTGACTGTTTGTTGTTCCGAAGGAAGTGGCTCAATTCGACAGGTAATGAATCAATGAATGATGAATCAAGCATGGCGTGAAATCATTGCAGGATCATGACTCACTGGAATCCGAGAAATAATGATATTAATTTCATGTAGCTAAGCTAATGCAATTACAATATTATGACTCGGCAAAATATCAGTGAAATGAATTAATGACCATGAAAATTTCATTTAGAATTCAGCCAACTCATCTCTTTTGCCTTGTGGCTTGCTTGTGAGATCATTTCCCATTTGTGTGGAATCATTCTCCAGCAGCCAGGTAGCCAGGTGGCTTATTGTGAGATCATTTCCCATTTGTGTGGAATCATTCTCCAGCAGCCACCACAATGACAGATAGCTGGCCCAATGGTGTTGCGACAGAGTCGGACAACTGCAAGTTCCTGAATTTGCTTTTTGCAAACGCCCCACGGAAGGACTTGACGAAGTCTCTGCCAACTTGGTCCTGGGATCATGGCATATTCAAATCTTGCTTCCTGACTTTTGCGTGGAATCTCTGACGTCAATGACCTCAAAATGATCGAGGTTTCATTCAACATTTTTAATGACCAGCAGAAGTGGGAAGCATCATATGGGCACATGTTTCAGGTTGCCGACCGCATTCACGATGTTCAAGGGTCTAAGAAGGCAACACGTTACTATCGCCAGGCAACCCTCAATGGCAACAATTGCGATTGCCGGGTCAGCTTTGGAGGGGACGACAAGTGGAAAAAAGCCACATGCCCAAGGGCAGCCAATTCTCATCTCCATGGCCAAATTTTCGAAAATTGTCTGATGAAGAATATGAAGAAGAACCATGAGGACTTGTTTCCACAGTCGTCCGCTTTGCCTCATTGGTTAAAATCTGGTACGTTCCATGTATTATTCAATGAATACAATCACCTGGAGGGAAACTCAATCGATTTTCATGATGACGCGGGAGAAACCTACAGCTTTCTTGATCCCATTTGCTCATTCACATTCAAAAGTCCTGGAATTCTTCTGGTCAAGCGCAAGTCTGAGTCCAAGGGGAAAAGCGAGAAGAACGAAGCATCCATTCTTCTGCTGTTTCAGAATCCTGGCGATTGTGTGGTCATGTCTGGTTACTTCCAGCAGTTCTACCTGCATGCTGTTCCTGCCAGAAATAAATGGGCTGACATCCGCGAAAACAGGCAGTACGAGGGAGTTCCGATTTGCAGTGATGACGAGCACTGGACGCAGTTTTGTAATTTCGTGGACCACTTGCAGAAGGATTCAGAATCAGCCAACACGACATGGGCTTTGCGATGGAACTGCACTCTCAGGTGGCATCGCAATCACATTGGCGGCTGCAGGTATGCTGTGAGAAATCAGCCTCCAGAGTCGATGCCTGCGAGACAGCCTGGGCCTGGGCCTACTTTGGCGACAATCAAAATGCCTTCAGTCGTGACTCCGTGGAGTACACACCCTCAAGTCTTCGCGGGCGGAGTGCAGCAGGCACATTCAAGTAGTTCAACTGTTCGGCCAGGTGCTGTCACTGTCATTTTGCCTCAGGGCATGGCTCTAATGGGTCCAATTGGTCAGGCTGCCGCCACGTGTGTCAGTGATTCAGCACTTGTGTCTGATGATCGACCGGGCAGAATGATTCAATCCGCCACGTGTGTCCGTGATTCAGCATCAGTGTCTGATGATCGACCGGCCGGACTGAGTCAATCTGCCCCGTGTGTTGTCAGTGCTTCAGAATCAGTGTCTGATGATCGACCGGGCGAACTGACTCAATCATTATGGCGGAGGACCAGGTCCAAACGCACACAGTCACAGGCCAAACCCGAATCTGCTGCTGACAAAAACATAAACATGGCAAAAATTGTGGGCATGCACGTTGACAGACTGGGTCCAAAGGTAACTGCAGACATGTTGAAGTGCTGGTCTTTTTTTCCGTCTCCGCATGCCAGGGAAGACCAGGTAGAATTTTTGAAAAAACTATTGTCAGACATTTCGGAGACGGAAGCGACGATCAGAGAGGCATTGTGTGAGGGGGTTGATTTGAGCCCACTGTCACTGTCACCAGCAGATCCAATGCCTTCAGACAAATGGCTCACATCCTTGAGCAAAAGCAAAAGTGTGATTGATTTGAAACTGTCTCTGTTGACCCAACAGAAAATGCTTGAAGAGTTTCTGAACGATTCTCAATGGGTCAATGCGTACATTCAAAGAAGTCAAGTGAACGTGCTGCAAACCAGGAAGCATTTGCGGAGGTGTCCTGTAAAAGGTCAGGATTTTGTCAACTGGTTTCAGCAACAGAGAAATTCTTTTGACACTGGGGCTTTGAAAGAGTTTGGATGGCTCAAAATGAATGCATTTATTGATGACTGCCTGCACGTTGTTCCTTCAGGCAAACAGTACCCATTCAAAGAGCACTTCAATGGTGCAGTGGTCCTTGAGACCATTGATTTTTCAGTCAGTGATTTGAGGAAGGACGATCCCATTCAACATGGACTTCTGCAGGTCACTGTCATGACTGCTCCGCTGCAAACAGTTTGCAAACCATTGTCCGAAAAACAAGTGCAACAATTTGCAGATCGGATCGGGTACATGCTGCAAAGTTTGGTGTTCTTCATAGAGGCTTCGAGCGAGGAGAACGAATGCTTCCTCAATTTGTGGGTTACTGACTACGAAAAAAAAACCAATGAACGTAAAAAAAACAAAATAAATGATTAAATGGTGACTTGCGGACCAGTCAATGACAGCGCTGCAGTGCCAAAAAAAGGACTCTAACTGACAGACAGATTCTCAGATGTCATTACTTGAATTGAATCAGTCAGTCAATGAGTCAAAATGCAATCAATAACATTGATGTTGAGTTTGAAGCACTGTCATGGACAATGGTGACAAAATCCCTCAATCAGTGAGTGAGGTTTTGGTCGATCAAAACAAGTCGGGGCCTTAGCACTCATTAGCTTCAGTAATCTAAATCATTTTTGCTGCCGCGCTTGATTTTTTCGTTTGATTGACAATTGATTGTGAATCATGGCCCATTTCCATTGTTGCTATCTTGGTTATTGCCTCACTCACTGACTGAGGATTAGTTATGACAAACAATTGTCAAATGCCAAGGCTTGGTCTCAGACTGTTGTTTGTGAGGCATTGGACCTAAGTATATCTCTTCATACTATTATTACTTATTATTTGATAGTTTGGCCTGCGTCTTTGATACAATATGCATTATTATTGGCGGTTCACTTCAGACAGGACTTGAATTCTGTTTGATTTATTTGTCGACAATTTGATTCCAAGTGTCAAGTCAAGTCAACTGCAGGTCATTTGCTTGATTGGAGCTGAGCTTAGTATAATGGTATGGCAGAGGCAGAATCAGACTGTAATGCAAATTCTCATGGCAACTGACTGTTTGTTGTTCCGAAGGAAGTGGCTCAATTCGACAGGTAATCAATAAATGATGAATCAAGCATGGCGTGAAATCATTGCAGGATCATGACTCACTGGAATCCGAGAAATAATGATATTAATTTCATGTAGCTAAGCTAATGCAATTACAATATTATGACTCGGCAAAATATCAGTGAAATGAATTAATGACCATGAAAATTTCATTTAGAATTCAGCCGTAACTCATCTCTTTTGCCTTGTGGCTTGCTTGTGAGATCATTTCCCATTTGTGTGGAATCATTCTCCAGCAGCCAGGTAGCCAGGTGGCTTGCTATTGTGAGATCATTTCCCATTTGTGTGGAATCATTCTCCAGCAGCCACAATGACAAGCCGATCAATAATGACGTCAGATAGCTGGCCCAATGGTGTTGCGACAGAGTCGGACAACTGCAAGTTCCTGAAATTGCTTTTTGCAAACGCCCCACGGAAGGACTTGACGAAGTCTCTGCCAACTTGGTGGTGGGAAGATGCTTCAGGCATATTCAAATCTTGCTTCCTGACTTTTGCGCGTGGAATCTCTGACGTCAATGACCTCAAAATGATCGAGGATTCATTCAACATTTTTAATGACCAGCAGAAGTGGGAAGCATTAAATGGGCACATGTTTCAGGCTGCCGACCGCATTCACGATGTCACAGGGTCTAATAAGAAAGCCCGTTACTATCGCCAAGCAACCTTCAATGGCAACAATTGCGATTGCCGGGTCAGCTTTGGAGGGGACGACAAGTGGAAAAAAGCCACATGCCCAAGGGCAGCCAATGCTCATCTCCATGGCCAAATTTTCGAAAATTGTCTGATGAAGAATATGAAGAAGAACCATGAGGACTTGTTTCCACAGGAGACCGCTTTGCCTCATTGGTTAAAATCAGGTACGTTCCATGTATTATTCAATGAATACAACCACCTGGAGGGAAACTCAATCGATTTTCATGATGACGCGGGAGAAACCTACAGCTTTCTTGATCCCATTTGCTCATTCACATTCAAAAGTCCTGGAATTCTTCTGGTCAAGCGCAAGTCTGAGTCCAAGAAAAGCGAGAAGAAGAAGACTAACGAAGCATCCATTCTTCTGCTGTTTCAGAATCCTGGCGATTGTGTGGTCATGTCTGGTTACTTCCAGCAGTTCTACCTGCATGCTGTTCCTGCCAGAAATAAATGGGCTGACATCCGCGAAAGCAGGCAGTACGAGGGAGTTCCGATTTGCAGTGATGACGAGCACTGGACGCAGTTTTGTAATTTCTTGGACCACTTGCAGAAGGATTCAGAATCAGAATCAGCCAACACGACATGGGCTTGGCGATGGAACTGCACTCTCAGGTGGCATCGCAATCACATTGGCGGCTGCAGGTATGCTGTGAGAAATCAGCCTCCAGAGTCGATGCCTGCGAGACAGCCTGGGTTGACAATCAAAATGCCTTCAGTGACTCCGTGGAGTACACACCCTCAAGTCTTCGCGGGCGGAGTGCAGCAGGCAGATTCAAGTAGTTCAACTGTTCGGCCAGGTGCTGTCACTGTCATTTTGCCTCAGGGCATGGCTCTAATGGGTCCAATTGGTCAGGCTGCCGCCACGTGTGTCAGTGATTCAGCACTTGTGTCTGATGATCGACCGGGCAGAATGATTCAATCCGCCACGTGTGTCCGTGATTCAGCATCAGTGTCTGATGATCGACCGGCCGGACTGAGTCAATCTGCCCCGTGTGTCAGTGATTCAGCATCAGTGTCTGATGATCGACCGGGCGAACTGACTCAATCATTAAGGCGGGGGACCAAACGCACACAGGCCAAACCCGAATCTGCTGATTCACTGCCAGCAGGCAAAAAAATAAAAATGGCAAAAATTGTGGGCATGCACGTTGACAGACTGAGTCCAAAGTTAACTGCAGACCTGTTGAAGTGCTGGTCTTTTTTTCCGTCTCCGCATCTCAGGAATCACCAGGTAGAATTTTTGAAAAAAATGTTGTCAGACATTTTGGAGACAGAAGCGACGATCAGGGAGGCATTGTGTGAGGGGGTTGATTTGAGCCCACTGTCACTGTCACTGTCACCAGCAGATCCAATGCCTTCAGACAAATGGCTCACATCCTTGAGCAAAAGCAAAAGTGTGATTGATTTGAAACTGTCTCTGTTGACCCAACAGAAACTGCTTGAAGAGTTTCTGAACGATTATCAATGGGTCAATGCGTGCATTCAAGGAAGTCAAGTGAACGTGCTGCAAACCAGGAGGCATTTGCGGAGGTGTCCTGTAAAAGGTCAGGATTTTGTCAACTGGTTTCAGCAACAGAGAAATTCTTTTGACACTGGGGCTTTGAAAGATTCTGGATGGCTCAAAATGAATGCATTTATTGATGACTGCCTGCACGTTGTTCCTTCAGGCAAACAGTACCCATTCAAAGAGCACTTCAAAGGTGCAGTGGTCCTTGAGACCATTGATTTTTCAGTCAGTGATTTGAGGAAGGACGATCCCATTCAACATGGACTTCTGCAGGTCACTGTCATTCCTTCTCCGCTGCAAACAGTTTGCAAACAGTTGTCCGACCAACAAGTGGCACAATTTGCAGACCGGATTGGGTACATGCTGCAAAGTTTGGTGTTCTTCATAGAGGCTTCGAGCGAGGAGAACGAATGCTTCCTCAATTTGTGGGTTACTGACTACGAAAAAAAAACCAATGAACGTAAAAAAACAAAATAAATGATTAAATGGTGACTTGCGGACCAGTCAATGACAGCGCTGCAGTGCCAAAAAAAAGGACTCTAACTGACAGACAGATTCTCAGATGTCATTACTTGAATTGAATCAGTCAGTCAATGAGTCAAAATGCAATCAATAACATTGATGTTGAGTTTGAAGCACTGTCATGGACAATGGTGACAAAATCCCTCAATCAGTGAGTGAGGTTTTGGTCGATCAAAACAAGTCGGGGCCTTAGCACTCATTAGCTTCAGTAATCTAAATCATTTTTGCTGCCGCGCTTGATTTTTTCGTTTGATTGACAATTGATTGTGAATCATGGCCCATTTCCATTGTTGCTATCTTGGTTATTGCCTCACTCACTGACTGAGGATTAGTTATGACAAACAATTGTCAAATGCCAAGGCTTGGTCTCAGACTGTTGTTTGTGAGGCATTGGACCTAAGTATATCTCTTCATACTATTATTACTTATTATTTGATAGTTTGGCCTGCGTCTTTGATACAATATGCATTATTATTGGCGGTTCACACAGGATTTGAATTCTGTTGGATTTAATTAATTATTATTTGTCGACAATTGAATTTTGATTCCAAGTGTCAAGTCAGCTGCAGGTATTATAATAATATTGAACTCCACCGGACGCTCTAACTGCAGGCTCGACCATTGCATGAGCATCACTGTCACTGTCAGTCAGTTACTGTTAGTCAATAATTCAAGCAACAGCATCAGCAGAAGCTTGAAATGGTTTTGCTTGATTGATTTCAGTCAGAGCCGCTTCAATTCAAGTCCAGTCAAGAAGATTTGCAATTCAAATGGAGCCCGAAGATTTGTTTCTGCTTGAGCAAGGACCCGCATCTTTCTCACTGACAATAATGATGCTGATCAAATCAGAATCAGAACCACCGCCAGAAACTCTGGTCTTCAAGAAATGGCGTGAGCAATTCCATGTTGTGTACGTATCAGACAAGCTTTGGACATCGGACAAAATGCTGCTTGAAGAGAAGGAGAAGTCCGGTTTCTTGCAACCAGTGCTGACAACACTGGGAATTGAATCGTTGAAGAATGTTGCTTCGTCATGTTGCTATGTCCTACAAAGGGACAGTGAATCAGGATGGTGGATCATGTGGTTGGCAGTGATGAGCTCCAAAAGTGAAAAGGTCGAACTGACTTTGCTTTTTCCACAGAGCAAAACAAAGGCTGCCTTTTGGACGGAAGGGATGCACAGCTACGTCCTCTCCGACTGGGATCTCTGCTTGGGTGATTCTGATTCCACTTATGATTCATGGGCCCGCCATGCCAACATCATCACTGAACTCGACAACGTGAAAAAGACTGAATGAGCGAGTAGTGATGCGCATAGACTTAGTGTGGACCAGCAGCAGTAAGAATGAAGCAACTTGTCAGTTTGATTTAGGTAGTGCTTCATTGACTTAGTCATCCAAGAGCTCAGCTGGTCAGTCACTGCACTCACTTTCAGAAGTTTTACCTGCAGACACAAGTCACTAAACTTAAACTAACTAGCTGTTTAACTTGGAGAAAATAGTTTGATTTTGTTGTTCTTTATGATTATGACACATTCACCTTGTATTTGTTATGGGCCAGTGACACATCAATAGTAGGGGCCCTGTGTTGCTCCAGGTGCTTTGGGTGTTGAAAGAAACTTTTGTTGGGATCGAACTGCCCTGCGTTTACTCTATCGGTGTGGCCACAATCAATCACAAAATACCAGAGCGATGTGCAATGTGTCTGTTAACCGATGGAGGGTTTCTTCACGGTATGTTAATCACGGCAGAAGTGGATTTCAATGTCTTGGAACTATAGTGCATCTCTGGCCAATGACACCTGAGTGTGACGATGATGTGCCAGTGGTGTGCACTGATTCCCACTGTCAAGGCCAGGACTGTGTGGGATGATATGCCATTTAGTGTGCATTGATTGATTCCCCGGTCAAGTAAGTGCACTGCCAGGGCAGGCTCCACTTGTCATATTACAGCATCCCAATTTTTCAAATACAGCATTGGACAGTGTGAAGTTGAAAAGTGATCGCCTGATGATGAACAATTCACCATTTGTAAACTTGAGACTTGACTGCAGAGTTAGATTTGTGCAATGCACTTGGAGTTAGGTTTAGTTCTTGAATCAACTTGGCTTGTCAATGTGAGTGTGTTTGGAAAAGTGTTTGGCTCAATAAAAGCTCCCGTTGAACCGTTGGGTCGCGAACCATTGCAGCTAGTGACTCAGTAGACAATCCAAGTCTACTGACCCTGGTCCTGAATATTATATAGCTGACTCTCACAATTGAGGTCGACAAGGAGATGTCTGACGCTGGTGCCACTGATGGCAGGACCGAAGCAAGTGCTGATGCCGCGCCAGACTCAGTGTGAGTCATGATGAAGTTAGACTGTCGCACAAGAGTCGTCTTAGAGTCTTTGACTGATTCATTGATGCTGTTGTTTTAGGTGCTTGCTACTTTGTCAGAGGCGGCGAACTTAGGGTTTGAACTTTGATTGATTTCAACAGGACATAGTTAGTTGATTGAACAAATTTGCGATGTTACTGCTGAGCCTACTGTTTCTCAGGCTGAGTCCAAAAAAGTGATTTCGTTCCAGATCGGGACGAAACGAGCTTACGAAAAAGGCGCTGGGCTCAGATTGAATGAACTTGACTTAGTCTGAAAAACCTGCATATGTCGAGGTCGAATAAATCAATTAGTCTGTGAAGCTGCTCAGGATACGCATTCCAGTACGTGTTCCTGAATGAGACGAATGGTGTCTCCAAATATTTATGCAATCAAGCCAGTTCAACAGGCCGGCCAAGTTGTGAATTCAGAAACTTTCCTTAGAATAACTGTGACTTATCATTCAAATGCATACTATATTATATGTTGTTTTGTTCAAGATTGTTTCAACTTTCCAGGCCGCCCGGGAGAAAAACTGCTGTTGCAGTATGGCACAATGGATGGCCATCCGACTTGGATGGCATACGAGGGGACGTGGAATGAAGAATCTGGGCAGTTCCAGGTCCGACAGGCGGTCTTTCAAACAAGAGACACCACAGTATTGTCTGAGGGGGGCAGACATTCTTGGCAAATGAATGAAGCGGCATCGAAAAAGGCAGAGCCGCCGTGCCCCCCGGCAAATTGGCAGGGGGACCTGGGCTGCGTCACGAAGAATGTGATGCGCTCAGGCGTGTAGAATGATTGTCCGAGTGTGACATGATTTCTCAATTTTGATGGTTCCTGCATCAAGCGTGTGGAATGATCGTCCGCGCAAAGTTTGTGACGTGATTTCCCATATCAGTGCTTGATTTTAAAGCAGGATACCTTGCTGATGCTGATGTCGCCTTTGAACTTGTGAGTTGCAAAACATTCAGATTGATTTAGGTCACGTGTCACAGTTATTTTCATTGTCACAGCAGTTTTAGCTGCCCACTGCTACTCAAAGGCACTGCTGGCCAATCCCGGAGGCGGTTCAACAGATTTTGGCTATTTGATGAATCTATCGTCAAACACGCCGCGCCAATGGATGAAAATGAAAAAGGGATATCATGATACATTAAATGACTCTGAGGCTGATACTGCTCACTTAGTCAAACTCATGATGACATGACATGATGGATTATGACGATTCCGGATGAATTGATATGTGCAATCGTGCACTTTTATTTGATTTGAATTTTTAGGAGTTCCGATACAGCACAGCAGCTCTTGATTTGTCACTTAACTATCTTAGCACAGTGCTCAAGTACAAGACATTCGGCAGAGCCAGGCCATTTAGTGACTCAACACTCTTGATTGGGTTGGAGTATATCGCCAATTGGACCACTTTGTAGTGACAGCCAGGGCTTATGATCTATGGAAGCGACAAAAAATTGTTTCTCTCATCTTATCTTGCAAATGAACAAGACTAGCGCAGCCAATAACAAGATGGGCACAAGGCTCTTGTCCGTCTTCGCCCCTGCAAAGTCAGGGTGATGCTACGGTCCCTATCATCATCCTGACTTTCCAGAGACGAATCGAGACATGTTTTTGCTTGTCAGAACATGACAACAATTGCGAATCAACGTCCAGCTCCAGACCTGCTGGACATAAGGTTGGCAGGCGGTGTGGCCCTGCTGCATATTAAGAATCACTGCTGTCCCGCACCTTTCAACTCGAGAATCGGTTGTGACATCGGTTTGGCTGGGTCATGCAGTTTCGATTTTGCGACAAGAAGCTGACAGCCATATTCTGGCATTGTACACGAGCATGCCACGTCGTATTGCCATCAGATCCTAATGGCAATCCTGCTGCACGTGGCTATAGCTCATGCAGTTTGGAGTTTAGAACAAGAAGGTTATCTCTAACTGCTGATGGTCCAGGAACCAGGAAGTTTGTGTGGAATGATGGTCCAGTTTGTGTGACCTGATTTCCCTTTTTTAAAGTAAAAGGGAAATCAGGTCACACAAACTGGACCATCCTTTGAAACGTTCATTTTCTGTCTCCGCTTGCTTGAAAGACCAGACCAGGTGAGTTTTTTGAAAGTTTTGTTGTCAGAAATTGTGGAGACAGTTTCTGTCTCCACAATATCTGACAGAATCAGGGAGGCATTGAGTGAGGGAATTTCCATCAATTCCATCACTCAATGCCTCCCTGATTTGCAAGAGAGGCATTCAGACATTTGCTGGACCAGAACTCCATTGACAAAGACTTTGACCAAAGCCTGACTCCAGTCCCAGCAGCTGAGTCAGCAGCTGAGTCAGGAACCAGGAAGTTTGTGTGGAATGATGGTCCAGTTTGTGTGACCTGATTTCCCTCTTACTTACAGCCATGGGCTTTGGAACGTTCATGATCATATAAGCGATGGTATTGTCAATACCTGTCAGTCTGTCGCGTGTGGCTGTTCTCCCATGATCTCTCAAGGTCACAGTTCCACTGGGAGACTGAATCAATGCTCCACCAAGGTCACTGCTGGCTGGTGGTCCTGCTCCCATCCAGCAATGATGTTGGTTGTGAGTTTACAGTGAATTGTCACTGTGATGGCCGACGGTGAGGGGTCGATTTGCAGTACAAACCCAGCAGATTGGGGCCACCTGTCACTTTATGCGATTATGACAACAAGGACAATTGGTAAAAGTGCCTTGTCAGGACGTCTAGCTTAGCTCAGCTGACAGTTTGTGAAATCACGTCACATTGCGGACGATCATTCAACACCGCAATGTGACGTGATTTCAGAATACTGAGTGACTGTAGACCGGACAAAAATCAGCAGCCGATTGGTGCGGTGCTTTTAGTCACTTCCAGTCTGTCAAGACACACGTTTACATTACATGGAATCTGCATGGATCCGAAGCTGATGTCTGTCTTGAATCAGCATTCCTATGCTGCCATTATCACGCCTTCATTTACTGGCTCAAGTCGTACAGCAATTGTACATTAATCCAGTAACAGTAGTCAGTGATGTCGCCAGTCGACCCTTTGGTGCGTTCGTTCAAGCGACAACTTGTTGCCCACCAGCTTCTTGACAAATATGTGGCCCTGTCAGTGTTCCTGGACCAGTATGTCGCAGCACCAAACTACTTGCTCCGCATGTCTGCAAACCCACAACTGTCAAAGAGAGCATGGGAGAGAGTCATGTATCATGCAAGGAAGGCATTCAGACATCTGCTGGACCAGAGCTCCATTGACAAAGACTTTGACCAAAGCCTGACTCCAGTCCCAGCAGCTGAGTCAGTCAGTACAAGCTGATTTGATTGGCCTGATCCAAGACTGGTATTAAATACCATCTGAGCAAGTGTGTGCTGATCGACTGTGAGTATGTCAGTAAGTAAATGCACCGTATTTAATTAGTTTAATTGATTGTTGCTTACTAGCAATTCAATTCAAGACTGCGTATCATCTGATTGATTTGACAAGTAATTGTTCCCAGACTGTTCAAGTGAAGATTCGAAATTTCAATTCATTTAATTCAGTGCCGATGCTGCCAACTGGCCACCGAGTTGAAAAGGTTGCTGATATTCTTTGCCTGCAAGAGTCAGAGACATTCATTTCAGACTCTCACATTTGAGAAATCGGTTTCAGTTGTCTGAAATGATAAATGCTATTCATGAATGTGTTCAGTCATTGGCTCAAAAATCATCATCAGTAGCAGTCAGCAGAAATTGCTGCTGGACTTTATAACTGTGCTTTTCCGATCCCAATGTCGGTCACTCAGCGGTCCAAGAAAGCCCGATTGACTCATCAGCAGATGGCGATATCTTCGATGTTCCAGCCTGGTATGAATCCTATGGCCATGATGAATCCGATGGCGATGATGAATCCCGCCATGGCGGCCATGTTTCAGCAGATGTCAAACCCCTCAGC